TATATATATATATATATATATATATATATATATATATATATATATATATATATATATATATATATATATATATATATATATATATATATATATATATATATATATATATGCATATACATATATATGTACATTCATGTATTCATATACTTATGTTTGTTCTATGTTCAGCTATCTCTGGATGATGTCTCCCTTTCAAATACTTCTACTGTTTCCCCTGAATTTTTTATTTCATTTGCATTTCTAACGGCTTGCAATGATTGTAGACACTTTCAGGTACAAAGTATTAATTTTAAGCTTCTTACCCAATCTTTTATTTAGAGAAAAGAACACAATATCGATTTGGAACAATGGCCGTGGGATACCGGTGGAGATTCATCCGACGGAGGGGGTCTATGTTCCTACGATGATTTTCGGCACCCTGTTTACTTCATCTAATTATGATGATTCCGAATTGAAAATAGTTGGTTAGTTCTTCAAATGATATATTATATTGTTGTTACTTTTCATAAAAGAGAATTAAACGTATGAAAGATAGTTTTTCTATTTTTCTATTACGCTGTAGGTACCCTTGGTAGGTCAACATCATTGTGTTGAGTTTGTTCATGTTCGTTACTGGTTAGTGCTTGAGTTGAAAGACATTTTCGGTATTTAGAAAGAGTTTTCCTTCTCAATTTTATGAAGAAATAATAGCTAAATTTAAACTTCACGAGTTGCTGAAATTACAGGTGGTAGGAATGGATTCGGCGCTAAATTATGCAACATATTTAGTACGGAATTTTGTGTAGAAACTTGTACGAAGCAGTCTGGATTGCGCTTTTTTCAAGTAAATCTATATCCCTCTTATAATGTTAATATTTCCAAAAAAATTTTGATTTATTTTTATATGTGTTAAAGTGTGACTGTAATTTTTCTACCATATTTGTTGTATACTTCCTTTTTCATATTCTCATTTTGCTACCTTGAAAAAAAAAGACCGTTGTCTGTCAAACACATTTGCTATCGTCTTAAAAACTTTCTTGAATTCATCTGTCAACCAAGCTATTTTTTGTTGTAGTGCTGGCGGAAAAATATGAACGACGTGGATGATCCAATCATCAGTAATGTTGACACAAACGCATCTGACTATACTTGTGTTACATTCAAGCCGGATCTGAGTAAATTCAAGTTATCAACTTTAGACGAAGATACGATAGAAGTAATGATAAGGAGGACAGTGGATATCGCTGGCACTCTGGATGGTGTTCATGTATTTTTGAACGGAACTAAGATCGAGGTTAGCAAATATGTCCTTTACCATTAACACTGTATCATTTATCCTTTACCATTAACACTGTATCATTCCATAAATTATTCTGCCTTTCCTCCCAAAAGTTCTGAATTTGTGCCCACGAAGTATTTAATGAAGACTGCATGTTTTTTTAGACAACATTTATATTGATGTATAACCTCATTATTTTGAAGGTTTCAGGATTCGAAGACTATGTAAAATTATTTTCAACAAATACTAGTGAGAATTTTGAAAATTTCACCGTTCCGTCTTATTGTAATGTTAATAATCGATGGCAGATTGCTGTAGCGCGAAGTAATGATGGATATAATCACACTAGTTTTGTTAACAATATCAATACTTTGAAGGTTAGTTTTTTTAATTTAATGGAATCATAGAATCGATTAAATTTTTGCAAATGTTAAAGAAGATAACAGGTAGTAAATCTGCTTGCCTCTGTTCCCTTTCACTGTAATCATGCTTTTTAAAAGGCTTATTGGAGTTTAAAAGCTCTTGAACATTTGATTCATTGTGACTTTATTCTCTGCATTATTTCTGGCCTCAAGCATAACATGCAGAACTTTTGTTCGGTATTACAGACATGCAGAAGTAGAACATTTTGATATAATATCTTATAATAATTAGGGTGGACGACACGTGGATTATATTATGAACCAGTTAGTATCACGATTAAAACAGGAAATACGTCAGCGCTGCGATTGTGAAAAACTCATAAGTACACATCAGGTAAGTAGTTTATATCTCAGACTTAATAAGCAGTAGCGAAAATGATGGGAAAGAGAACATTGATTTAGCTGTACTAAAAAAAGCAGTAAAATAATCATTTGTAAAAGGAAATTCAGGTTAAAAATCGACTTCATATATTTGTGAATTCACTGATAGAGAATCCTGCCTTTGAATCGCAATCAAAAGAATACCTTACAACATCAGTGAAGGATTTCGGTTCAACGTGTATTATACCAGAATCATTTTACGAAAATTTCTTTAAAGATAGTGATATCATTCATTATTTGCTCTGCGACATCAGTGAACAGCATACGGTGCATCTTTATTTTTTCTTCTGCCTATCTCTGGTGTCATATAAGTTTGTAAGCAGGGTTCCGTAATAATCTCTGGTGTCATATAAGTTTGTAAGCAAGGTTCCGTAATATAAATGAACTAATTGTCAATATGCTCATTTGAGGCTTCACTGAACCGCTCCATCAAGCGACCTCTGTGGGACTTATCAAAACTGGAAGATGCGGTTGATGCAGGCACTAAGAACGGTTATAACTGCACATTAATCGTAACGGAAGGTGATTCAGCGAAAGCACTTGCAGTAGCGGGTCTTGCTGTAATTGGACGGAAACAATATGGTGTTTTCCCAGTTCGAGGGAAGCTAACAAATGTTCGAGGGATGGATGCTAAAATGGTTGATATTTTCAAACCTAGACATTTTACTGGTTGACTCTGCTTCTGACAAATCAACCCTTAATATTAGCAACAATTTTGTGAGATTTTTCGTAATCTCCACATTTTCCTTTAAACGAGAAAACCTTTAAAATCTTTTGAATAAATTTGATAAGCAAACGGATATATGGATATATATGTACGTATATATATATATATATATATATATATATATATATATATATATATATATATATATATATATATATATATATATATATATATATATATATAT